AAAAATACTACTAGTTTCTAATCTATGTCTATATTGTATAACATTTATTCTTTCAGATAGCAAGCCAGAAACCCTTGAAGCCTACAAGATAAAAACGGCATTCTTCACCTATCCCACCTTGACAGAAATAGGCAGAAGACTGGTTTCTCATTTTTTCTTGCTAACAGAAGAAGAACTCACAATGTGGGAAGAAGACCCTGAAAGTTTTGGTAAATAGCTTAAAATGACATTATTTTGGTTCAGTAGGCAGCAGTGGGTTATTTTTCTCTTTCATACTGAATCTATTATCTCTTGGACGTGTGTCTTTAAATATCTCATAACTCTTTAAAATATGTAAACAATTTTATGACAGGCATTCTGAGCAACAGAAAGAGGAAGTATGTTTAATATGTTCGTGTGGTTTGCTGAAGAAAATGAGAACTTTCATGTTGTGCCAGATTTCTTATTGGAAGATGGGAATTTCAAAATGTCTGACAGTGAAATGAACCTTTGCTGGTGGTGTAATGCTAAAAGGAAAAACTCAGGGCCTGTTAAATTAAGATTCAGCAGTCTGAGCACACCAGAGAGACAGTGCAGACAAGTGTTTCCAGGCATAACCTGCTTCTCTAGCCCAGAAAATGTTTTAAAGATATTTGGCTTTTTCCACAGGGAGTTAATGTGTCAACTTTACACCTCATTGCACATCAAGGCCCCGAACATCTGTGAAAGACAAATAACTGGTGTCTGTCATTCCACCAGGGCTCCTGTTCACTGTTGGGCATCTAAGCAGATGGACAAGTGTAAACTGTCGGTTGCATCACTCTGGGCTTCATTTGTCTTTTTCTGTGATATTTTTAATTTATGCACCTTTAAAGTTACCTCCTGCTCCATTTTGTCAAATGACAACTGAAGAGACATTTCCATGGCCGGCATCTTCATGTGTTCTGAGCTGGGAGTTTAAATTATTTTGTTGTTTTTGCTAATGTTATCTGTACGTACTCACAGATCAGATTTTACTGATTTTACTTGTCTGAAAGTAGAAGAATAATAGAAAATGATGTAAATATCCCATTTGTACACATGGGAATAAACAGCTACAAAGTAACTATGCTATGCAGATAATCAGTGTTGAACCAGTTTCAAAAAACAAAAACACCACGTACCATACAGCAGTTTTCAATTTTTGTTCAGCCGCACACCCCGTTCGATCGCCTAATCTATGCACCCCCATCACTTTCCTTTTGTATTACAAATGCACTAGTAAACTACACCTGCATTTGGGAATTAAGGGTAACAAAGTCAGATTTAATAGAATCCAGTTTCACCCTTAAATTGGTCTCAGTATCCAACCTTTGGCGATACTTTGTCTTGACTGCTGTGAGTGCAGAGAAACAAGCCAGTGAGTGAAATACTTTGTATCCATGTACTTTCTTGCAAAATGGAGGTCAGAGGACAATGTCTTAACGACACAGGTACTTAGTTCAACATTCAACGGTGTTGAATATCAGCAAAACCCTGAGTGCTCATGAAACAAAGGCTACTGTCTCGAGCAACCCGCTGTTTTCCCCCAGGCTCTTTATTTGGTATCTCTCCCCGACTTCAACAATAAACTACCTCTAAGAGCTGTGTCTATGCTCTAGGAGCAGACTCTTATATTTTGTGTGGAGAGATGGTTTAGTGTAATTCTTTTAATTTTTCAGCCATTATGGATTTTTTTCACACACCCCCTAGACCCCAGCTTGCACAGCCCTGCGGTAAGCGCACCATATTTTGAAAACCACTGCTGTCACTAATATCCATGGTTAGTTTTTTTTTAAGTTGATTACTTTTTTTATTTTTTAATTTGATGACTTTTTTTATTTTTTAATTTGATTACTTGAATTTTTTGCTGGCAGACATTGAAAATACAGCACTGAACTTCAAGTGCAGACATCTCTTGGATGTTTCTTGGGCATCGGATACATAATTGTACATGTCAATTGCAGAGCTAACTATTCTCAATGCTAAGAGCATTGTATTTATGAGCTTTACTGACAGATTTAATCCACCAGGAGGAGAGAGAGAGAGAATGCTGTGGGTCTCGTATGAGTTGTAGAACGGGGTGCTGAAAATTCTTTCCACATTGGGTAGAATTCAATTTTTTTATCGCTTTTTTCATAAATGCTCTCTGTCATATGCTTAACATCTAAGATTATTATTTTCCCATTAAAGTTTAAGGTTCCCTTAATTATTCATGTTTTGAATAATGTTAGCTGGAAGCATGTGGGTCTTTGTAGACTCTATCATCTCTAAAAGAAGTTTAAAAAAGAATCACTATCCTTTTCTACATTAATGAGCATTTGGAGTCTGTTGTGGAGTGATTTCAGACCTGTTTTTGGCCATCTTCATCTATAACTCAAAATATATACAGAACTGAACTTGGTTTATCCTATTTTCTGAACTATTCTGTATAGGGATCATTGTCAGAAATGGGAAATTTGTTATTAGCAAAATACTACTATTATGAAGAAGAATAGTAATCTCCTTTTGTTAGATTATTTCTATCTGTTATGATTATGGTATCAAGGAAATGTATCTGGTTTTACAAACTGCTTTAGCAACAGTCGGATGATACAGTATTTCATTGAGTTTATCAGACATGATATTTCAATGCAACATTAACACAATGAAGTGCCTGTTTACACTCCTGTTGCACTATAGATATTGACAAGGGTGTGAAGGGTAAAATAATGTCCATTAATATCTACAGAATTGTTTGTCTGCTAATTATATACTTTGTGGTAACGGAAAGAATTATTATTTTAACTACATCCAGTAATGATTGTTTAATTTCTGCAATATGATTACAAGCTATTAGTGTCTTGAGGCTGATGGATTTAATTACAAGTTAAAAGAAAAGGTTTTGAATAACATACAGCCTTGCATTTGACATTATGGCCTCTTTGTAGGTTTACTAAGTTTTAAGTCTATCAGGTTAAAGCTGTGAAAAAAATGGCAAAATGTTAATTATGTATTATAACAGTCCTTTATCTGAAGGTATTTGAAAAGTGATTTGACTGCTAATCCCATACAGTGAGTCTCAATAAGCAGATCCCATGGGGAGAGATAATCACTTAAGGAACAGCATTATAATTAGTCATGAATTAGTGGAGCTGAATGCTTGTTCGGTGAAAAAAACATAGGTAATCCAGTCCAGGGCTTTTATTAGATTGTGTACTTTTTAGAGGACAAGGTATCCCTGCCAGCAACTGTGGTAACTGGACCAGGTACTGTAGCTGTAAAATGCTTCATAGAATCACACAGCCATAGTTATAATAATCATTGAGTGATTATTGCCATTTACAGGCACTTTAACTTTATTTTTTATAAACGTATATTTAGGGTAATATGTGTTTGTTAACATTCATAAGTTCAGGATTTTCCATACTGATTTATTTTTAACTCATTTAATGAGGTTATGTAGTTCTGATTTGCATTGAACCGATTTTGCGCGCAGGTAACTTTTTTAGAAAACCATTTGTTTACTTTTAAAACTTTCTACAATATCCCATCCTGACCAATTGTGAGAAAATATTAACTTGTGTCAGAATAACAACAACAACATCACTTTATTAACCCTTTACAATTTCTTGCATTAGGAATTATCTTTTCACATATCCCAGCTTGCTCTCCATGAGACACACAGACACACGGATAGGGAGAGAACCTGGGGTCAGAGCACAGGGTCTGCCATTGTACGGCGCCCCTGGAGCAGTTGCGGTTAAGGACCTTGCTCAGGAGCCCAACAGAGTAGGATTCCTCTGCCGGCTGCAGGATTTGAACCGGCAACCTTCCAGCGACAGGCGCAGATCCTTAGCCACAGAGCCACCTCTCCGCCCAATGGAACGGAATTTATCAAATAAATCAGCTCCTTAATGTATTTGAATCTATGTAGTGTGTGTTTTAACAATATGTTATATTTTCAGCTGCAAGTCTTTTTGGATTTGTTTGTATGAACTTGACCACAAATTCATTTGGTGACTACTTCTGCGAGACACTTCAACTTGATCGAATAGCACTCTAATCAGAACAGCAAAGGAAAGAATGAAAATCAAAGACACATTGATCATTCTAATAATTCTAATTTGTAGGTGTGACCTGGTTTATTTAAATATTTTTCAAACCTTTTGCTTTACGGTTGCGGATCTTTCAGCCTGAATTTGAATGGGGATTTGTAACTTGTAGAATTGTGTCCTCTTTGCAGCCGTGGAAGAAACAGGAGGGGACTCTTGGAAGTACAGCCTTCGGGTACGTTCTAGCAGATACCATCTTCTAATCTCTGTGTGATCATGAAAGCCGTGCTATTTTATGTTGCTCATGGTCATTTTGCTATGTGTTATTTTACATTATTTTTAATCTTTTTTTTATCTTTTTAATTTGGTGGTTAAGTGAGGAAGGCATGATAAGCTGACTGTGATAATTGACAATAGATGTTAAACATGAGCAAAATGTGTTTTATTAAAAGACGCACAGGCCCTGTTGCCTTAAAAAGACATAAAAGGTATTGTTACCCGTTTATCTTTTAGTTTTCTAATTAAGAACTGAGGCTTTAAGAAAATGGGGTCTGTTGATGTTTTTGTTAGCCTTGTCATGTTTAAAAAGCATTTGTAACATGTTCTCTGTTACTTTACTAATATCGCTGTGATGAGCAGCAGGCTTACTGAAAAGTGCGAAGAGTGTCTAAAGCATTGACATTACACTGCGGCTTGTCAAGAGCAAAGCTGTGATCAATTATGGTTACTCTCACTAAAGTGCAATTAATTCAAGTGACAGTCGCACACCTCTGAAAAATCAGGTTAGCACAATCAGATTTAATAACATACTAGTGTAGATAGGTGTAACTGATTGCAACACTGGTTACCAAGGTGCCTTTTCCTTGGATTTCTAAATGTCTTCTGTAAGTTGAGTTTATATTAAACAAAATATAACAAAATAAGAAAACTGTAAGGAATTATTATTAAGCGTTGGTTTCAGAATACATGAAATTGTAAAAGCATACAACAAGATAGCAGTTTTCATACACTGTCAGCAACACATTATTTCCTTTTAAATTATCTTAATCTAGCTATCTGAAATTACCTCTCGCAGGTTTTGCTTTCATACACGTACACATTTGAACATTCGTACTGTTGTGTGTGTAAGGAATGGTGGATCTTTGTCGTAAGTAACAATGTTGTCGTAAGTAAAATGTTAGTGACATGTTAATTAAATTATGTGAGATTTAATTGAATTATGTAAAGCCTTCCATGAAGGGAGGGCCCAGACTTTTCTGGAAGCCTGCTCAGTATTATACATAGCAGTACCAGTAGGTGCAGCACCAAGGGAATCTTATCTTTATCTTGCTACTGTATCTGCCTTATTAGCAGAACAGGGGTGAGGGAAGCCAGCCCCTGCTTCACTTGGTGTATGTATGTCAATTCCTGTTTAATATTGCAACCCTGATGCAATAATATAAGCAAAATGATGTTAAGGTAACAGCGGTCTTATTTGGACTTCCACTTGCTCAAATTGTATTTCTTGGCAAAATTGTGAAGTATGTATTAAAGGATAGAAAAAACACCACAAAACGTATTTGCCATCCTGCCATCCACCTGGATAGAATGTGCCGTTTAGTTTTTTTTCTCCATGTAAAGGTGTTCTTAGGAATATAAGTAATTTAAACCTAAGTAGGAATGGCTGTTAAAGAAATTAAGTAAAAAGAAAAACTCTTAAATTGACCATTTTGGAGTTATGTTCTTTATTTTTTGCCAATTAAGATAAAGTATTTAACAGCAAAGACGATTTTGTTGCACACTTAGTGCCCTTGCAGTATAAAATTGAGGTCATGTTTTGGAAAGGTTGAGATACAGGTAAAGTGGTTCCATCCCGAAGGTAATGACTCTCAGGTGTTAGAGATGTGGGAAGGAAAGTGAGTCAGAGAAAGGAGTGGTGAAGAAGACCTGAACACCATAAGCAAGAATGAGTTAGGAGATGCCATAGAAAGAGAAGCAAGAGGAGAGAGATGCTACAGTAGATCCAAGGACCATCCATTTGGGACACCTGTGGAGAGAGTGTGAGGAAAGAGATTCACAGATATACACTACACCAGCAAACATGGAAGACGTAGTTAGGGAGGCAGGAAGAGACCTGAGCAAAAGAGGTGAATGCAGCTGTTGTGTGTTTCAAAGGCACCTGATAGGTCAGAGATGCTTAGGACAGAGGTAAATTAGGCAGCACAAGTAGGGAGTAGAGAGTTGATAACTCCAGTTTCCATACGGCTTGCAAGACAGAAGGGAAGTCAAGAGAAGGCTTCCCGAGGAACTAGACGATTTGGTATTCTTTGGAACCAGAAAGAAAATGACCACATAACAGAAGACTGTAAAGGACAAGGAATAAAAGGAATTACAGTGGAAACAATAGTCTGGAAAAGATGAGAAGGAAGAGTATAGTTTTATGGGTTTATTGTCCAGGAGTTACTTCTGGAAGCAGCTTGCTGAAAAACAGCTTCAAAAACTACAAAATCATCAACTCTGGGAAGGCATCTTCATATATTCAATTTGAAAATTTCTCTGTCTCTGGAATGTTTTTTATCTATTATATTCACATTCATTTTTTTTCTGTTGTTTATTCTCAGCCATGCACAGAAGTTTTGTTTTTGGATATATTCCATAATTACAGTCAAACACTGACTCCAGTACTTCTTGAGATGGTTCAGAATTTGCAAGGTATGTTTTTTTTATATTTAATATTATGCAGTTTAATACTATGTGTTGATGTGGATGTGTTATTTGTTTTTAAGGGAACAAAAGGTAAATTGAGTAGGCCTTTACCCTGTTGTTTTGGGAAAATAGAAGCACTAAAATAACGATTGAATTTGGAATTTTATAGTGTTCTACATATGCAGTGCCTTGCAAAATTGTAAAGATGTGTATATATATATAATTAATATGAAACACCATCCCTGCCATCAATCATGGTGGTACCAGTATTGTATTATAGTTCTGTTGGCAGGGAGCAAAGTACTGGAAGATCCTCCTTCAAACCAAAATGGGACAAAAGGTCACCTTTCAGCAGGATAGCGACTCAAAGCACAAGACCAGAGCTACAGTAAGGTGGAGTGTCTTGAGAATGTGAATGTCCTTCAGTTGAACATTCAAAATCTCAACGTATTAAAAATCTGTTGAAATATTTTAAAGGTGCTGTACATAAGAAGTCCTCAAGCAACTTGAGAGAGTTTGAACAAATCTGCCAAGAAGAATGGGCAAAAAGTGCATCAATGTTGGAAGAGATTTTCCCCCAAAAAAACACGTGATTGTAATTGCTGCCAGATGTGCTTCTACCAAATAGAGTTTGTGGCTCTGAATCCTTATGCAGTCAACATAGTTCATTTGTCAACTGTAATTTCTTAATTTTGGAGGTTTTATCTTTTTTCCCCAAATATGACAAGATAGACATTTTATATCTTAACAAAATTGGTGGTCTGTATGAAATAATTTGTTTTAATTTGATAAACCCATGCATGTAATGTTAGAAAATGCATTAAAAAGTGCTCATTAGTTCCTTTACAGGCAGTTTGGAAAGGTTAAATCTTCAATAAAGAATATCACTGTGCCATTTCAATGTAGTCATAGGAAATATATATCCATTTAGATAAGTGCTTTAAATAATTAGAAGACATGGTTTATAAATTGTTAAATCGTTGTAGTTTGTCCTGCCAGACCTTGATGGCAGAATCTTGAATTATGTGAGCGCTCCTGGTTGCAGTACAGTGTAAAGACCTGAAAGCCTTTTAGCAAGGGCTTTCCTTGTTATTCAGCTCAAATCCTGATTCTGCAACAAAAGTTGCATCCTGGGAGTCCTGAGTTTGGCACTTCAGCCCTTCATTGTGATCATGAACTTTAAAAATGCACATTCAGTTGGCAACAATGAGTATTCATTATTATTTTTTTTAGCTGTGCACATGAAAATGTAATTATTGAATTGAGAATAATGAAGACAAGTAGAAAACCATAAGATAATTACAATACAGAATGTTGTGTTATTCGAAAAGGAAGAAAGAGACATATTTCTGCTGTTGCAAAAGGCAGCCACCTATAGCACAACAATCCTTCTTGTTTTAGTGAAAGAAATTGTTTGTGTGAAATATGTCTCTAATTAGACATGCATTGAAGAGCCATTGGTCTGATGTGTCTCGGAAATTAGCTAGATTCAGTGAACACATTAAATGCTTTGTGATTCATGACTGGATCATGTAATCGACCTCATTTTCTGAACACAGCCCAATTGCTGGAAAAAAAACTGATTGCTTAATGTGCTTATAACCTTTAAAGGGAACATCAGATTAACTTACAGTATAGATACTCGTGTGCAATTTGATTTTATATTGTAGAAGCCTTGCACAAAGATTAATGCTTCTACTCAAGACCATGCTTTTGCCATTGGGTTTGGTTTCATTTTCTTGCTTTCACGCTGTTTGATTTTGAGTGGGATCTGTACTAGAGTCCTCCTCTATCAACCCAAGACCACCTTTTCAAGCAATTCAATTAAACATCTCTAGGGCCTGATGGTATTCTAGTTATTGTTTTTAAGGACACAGGGGATTTCGTTCAAACTGTAGGCTATTAATAAAACTCTTCCCATAGTCTCTCAGTACAGGGTAATAGCTAGTGCCTGGACAATTGCTAATGTAGAGTTCATACTTAGAAAAGACAAATACTGTACGAAGTAATCATCAACCAACGGGATTTACTCGTATAATAATGAAGTGAGTGATGTCCTTCAGATTTAACCCCCTGTCAGAGATCTCCCTCCATCCCTCAAGGATAGTAGATCTCTTCTTAAGGCCAGGGTGCTTTCCCTGTATCTTTTTCACCCAGCAAGGGTTATATGTCACCTCCCTCTTTTCATAAGTAGGTTTTATAAGCTTTAATAATGTTTTTGTGCTGTTTTTGAATCCATGGACCTGCCTCAATCCAAAGACATGCATTTCTTGGAATGCCTTCTGCCTGCATTTCGAGAATATATCTTTTATGGGGACTTTATTAATACCAAACATTATCAAAATACCTCTTCTGGAAATCTTAATACAGCTCCTCATTTGCTATGGTGCTATATCTATCTATGGTGAAACATTTTTGCTAGAGAACAGTTTGTTACATTCTTCAGAGAATTTACTCAAAAAACTGTCCATTAAAACATGAAACCCTAGAGCTGTCATAGAATGAGACTGTATTTGTATAAGTGTTTTAAGTGCTAGATTTCCCATTGTTTTTTAATGTCTAATATAAAGATATCACGAACAAAAACATATTAAAGAAACCTAATGTGGAGCCATTGTAAACAGAAAGCACATATTTTTGACAGGAATTACAGTCAAAAATATTATTGTCTAGCCGAATGGGGAGACTTAATCTTTCATTTTGAAAGAAGTCTTGGCGTTTATCTACATTAAATCATTTCTTTTGTCAGGATTAAAGGCATGTTAAGACTGGATTATTTTAGGTGATTAAATGAACGTTTAGGAACAATTTAGGAGTAACTTCAGAGAATTTAATAAGAAAGGACACTTGGCAATTTAGCTTAAGAAAGATAATATCCCACTTTACATTTGTAGAACGTGCATGAGTATTGGTTTGAGTAGTCATTTCTGAAATACATTTGCAGTTGCAACTGAAATCCCAAAAGTAATTAGGAAAAAAGATTAAATTTCCAGTAGTATTGAGGAATTGGTGAGAATCACACTGACATATTGTGATATAATATTGTGATAGTGTGATATTGTGTAAAACAAAATATTTTAGTTGCATTTGTCAGTAATGTATAATGTTGCTGTTGAACCCAGTGTAATTATTTGTGCATTTACACTCTAGCTTACCTTCTTTTGATAAAATATTTCAAAATTCCATTCACTGTCATGTACAGTGCCTTGCAAAAGTATTCACCCCTTTCGGATTTTTTCACATTTTATTGTGTTATAGCGTGGAATCATGATGTAGCTGATGCAAGTGCTTTATAATGTCAAAGTTTCGAAAAAATCGAGATATTGTACTAAATGTAAAGTAAAAAAAAGAAAATAATTGAATGCCTGAGTATTCACCCCCTTGCTTTGACACACATAAATTACCTCCGAAGTAACCAAGTGTCTTCTGCGAGTCACATAATTACTTGACTGGAATCCACCTTTGTGCAATTGAGGTGTTTCGCAAGATTTCAGAATAAATCCACCTGTGTTTGGGAGCTGGCTTAAAACCAAAAAGGTTAATGTCCTGGAGTGGCCCGGTCGAAGCCCAGAGCTCAATCCAAATAAGCATCTGTGGAATGACTTACAGTAAAAATTGCTGTTCACAAACTGCCCCCATCCAACTTGATGGAGCTGAAGCAATTTTGCCAAGAAGAATGGGCAAACATTCCAGTGTCAAGATGTGCAATGCTGAAAGAGATTTATCCAAAGAGACTCACAGCTGTAATTGCTGCCAAAGGTGGTGCTACCAAGTATTAACTCTGACTGGGGTGAATACTTATGCATTCAGTTATTTTCTGTTTTTTATTTTTAATGAACTTAGTAAAATGTATGGATTTTTTTCCCCCACTTTGACGTTATAGAGTACTTTGTGTTGCTGAGTGGGGAAAAAAATCATGGTTATATTCATCATGTTTCCATGCTGTAACACAATAAAATGTCCAAGGGGAGTGAATACTTTTGAAAGGCACTGTATGTTTACATTGTACTGTTTTGTAACACGTTTTAAAATATTGTAATGTACCTTTTACTGCAGGCCCAACAAATGTGGAAGATTCTGTTCGCCTGCTGATCAAGGATGCTGGTATGCTTTTCTATATTTGCCTTTCTTTATTATGGACATTTAGACTATTTAGACTAAATGTCATCCCTAAAATGAAATTTAACTTTAAATGACCTATATACATATTAATGTTAAACTCTCAAAAACAACTTGTTTTCCCTCCCGATTTATCTGCAGTTACACTTAGTGCAATAAAAACATTGTTTTTTAAATGGGAAAAAATATTTTGGAGAAAACCCACCTTTCCAGGAGAAAAAAATACAACTCACCATTCTGTAAAAATATACTTACTGGTATTTCCATAATGAGTTAGGTCAAGAAAATAAAATTTCTGATGAAAACTTGGGAACCAGATGAGAAATGCAGCTCGTGGCAGGTGGGAAATAATTTATTTGAAGAGTGTGTACTGTTAGATGCACGTCTCAACTCACTGGCTCATGTCTGTTGAGGTATCATTAAATGCAAAGCTTTTATATACCTTACTGGTCCAGCAATATTGAGAAGAAATGTGAAGGAAATTCCTCATGCTTGTTAAAATGTCCATATATTATTTCTTTGATATTAAAGACATACTTGCCATCACAGTTTCTTATTTAAATAAGAATATTATATTAATCAAATTCAGCAAAACAAAACAATTGAACAATATTTCACGTTATATTGAGTGAGTCTGTAAACTTTCAGCTGTGTCTTACGAAGCTAATTTACAGCAGAGAGAACATAAAGTGTTCAGTCTCCACATTAATCCTTAACTTGAGCTATTTCCTTGAGGTGAAGTGCAGAGGAGTTCTTTTAAAGTGATTTTAGTACATGATTATTGTCCATAACTCATTCACTATCAGGTAAAAGCCTCCACCTTGAGATCAGGGGATCAGTTTTACAAACCGCTTCTGGATGGAAGCTTGCTAAGAGCAGTTCCATAGCGTTGAAGAAAAAGAAATGAGCATGGAAAGTGTTTCATGTTTCAACCCTTTGAACAGCTGAGCTGATGTACATGAATGCTCCATTCTAACTTGAAACAGCATTTGTGAAAAGGATAAAAAGAAATGTAACTAAGGGTTGGTGCGGTTTAAGATGAGACTTTTACAGTTGCATCCCTCACTGGGACTTCAAAGATTTCAGAAGTTACCCACAGAAAGTCTCCCACTATTTGGCCTGTTGCTCTTAGCTTGACTCTTATTTGGCACTTTGAGGTGTGTAAGGTAGTGGTCCAGATGTGCTCCTACTGCCAGCTCTGCACCAGAGATGGAAAATGCCTTGTGAAAGAAGAGCCACGTCAAACCCTATAGTCTAGAAAACTCTTGCTCAGGCCCCAAGTTCCATGACTGTCTGGCTGTGACAAATGTGCAGGCTGAGGTTAACCCCCAGAATATAATCTATTGGGGGGTGCATGTCTTACTTCACAGCATCAGTTAATGTTTCTGGTAAATTGCCCGTGAGATTTCATCAGATCAGCAGGCTTTATCATGAAGAAGGTGCACGTTCCCAGGACACCGTGATCACATAACAGTCACAACCACTACAGTCAGTGTTAGTAACTTGTTGATGTTGATGCTGAAAATGAGATGTCTATCAAGCCTTGGTAAACCCTGTTCTAATAACAATTAGAACTGGAGAAGTTCACATAATCCAAAGAGTATACAGGCTCCTAGCAAATGCAATTGAAGACCCAGTTGTTCATGTTCAGACAAATTAATTTAGCTTAAGCAATACATTTCGCAAGTGAAATAAATGCAAAAAGTATAACCAAGTCAGCGATAGTCTCAGTGATTCTGACTATAACGTGCAAAGACGAACAGCTACACACATTAATCTGTCAGAACAACACACAGCTGAGAACATGTCATGTCAAGGAATCTTCAGCTTTTTCTGCTATTGGAATACCTACTTGTTTGACAAAGGCTGTCTTTACAAATATGATGGGCTACATCAGTGATGTGGGCACCTGTTGGTTTGGGCATGAATTCACTGAGAAATAACATTTAAAAAAGAAGGGAATCTAAATAAAATACATCCGATGAGATAAATGGGGAATATAGTGAAAAAGTGTAAAAGAATCAAGTAAGTAAATGCTTATACCTTAAAGACAGAAGTGTTAGAAACAAAAAGAAAACACATACTGCATTAGCATGCATGTATGATGGAATCAAAGAAACATGGCTAACAGGGATCTTAAAGATGGAGGAGTAGCACTATGTGTCAACAAGAGAATTCAGGCTCAGGAATGTAAATTAAATCAGTGTTTTCTGAAATTATATGCAATAGCTCAGTGTTGTGTCTTCAGATATGAATGACTGTTCATAGAGTTTTGGT